GAGGCGCCGACAGCGATGCCGACCTCATGGACACAGAGGACCCCGAGGGCATCGCCGCGGGCTCCAGACGCCAAGTCGGGCCTGTCCTGCTACGGGAGGAAAATTCACAAATAGTCGAAAATAGTCAGGGGATGACTTTTCATTTTTTGGCTACTTTTGAGCGTTTTTTCTGCGATGTTTAATCTGTCGCTTAAGGTCCGCCTGTGGGAGGACGTGCCCGGCCCTAGTCCAAGAGCGCCCCACAGGCCCTCGACGAGACCGCCGCCGCCACCGCGGAGGGCGCCGTCGGCGCCGCCGCCGACGCCGCCGGGTGCTTCCTGCGCCAGCCTGCCGCCCAGGCCCCCGCGCCTCGGCCAGATGCAGGCCAGGCAGCAGCTGGCCCGCCAGGTGGGCAGCACTAGAATTAGGTCGGTCGTGTCCCTGTACAGGAGGAATCTTCAAAAGTAGCCAAACATTGCGGGGACGATGTGTCGATGATTCTTCGAGTCTTCGGGGGGGGTTGTTTGGGGCATGTTGTATTTTCCGTCCAACGGCCGCCTGCGGGGGGACGCGCCCGACCTGGGGGAGCGCCGACACTTTCGTCGAGTCCGACGCCGAGGGCAAGCAATTCCAGGTTAGATGCTGCCTGGCAGCCAGAATCATGGGGCCCGTTTTGCAGGCCACCAAGTGGTGCACTAAGCGTGGGTGGTGCGTTTGCTTCACGGGGTGAGCTCTCGGAGTGCAGGGCCGCTGCGTATGGGGAAAGCTATCCTTATCCGTGATGGTCTCGACTTGGGGATAATTAAAGTTGAGCTACCATCCAATACGACATCAGGACAAGTTGCCGCGGCAGCTCTGGAGGCGCGGGGGCATGCTCGGTTTTTGTCGCGTTCAGTCCACCTCGCCGACAAGGTTAGACTGAACGAGTTGAACCTCAGCCTGCTTGCGAGCCTCGGCCAGCCCGGGCAAGCCCAGCGCATGCCGACAACATTCGCAGGCGATTTCAATCTCTCCCTCTCCGGGTTCCTCAAGAGTGTTTACTGTGTCACGTCAGGCCGGGGGTCCGCGTCTCGGCCTCTGAGGGGCCCTCCCTGTGCACCAAGAAGGCCAGATTGCTGATCGATCGTTTTCTGATCTCGGGTTACTTCCAAGAACATGTGAGCCAGCCCGAGGCCTTGAAGGAGTATCCTCTGAGCCCCTGCAGGCCCTTCTACTTCGATCTAGCGTTGGGGTCGCCGTTCTTGGCCCCCGTGCTGGTCAAGCCCCAGAAGATCCCCACTAGTACGCCCTTCGGACCCCGGGCCCTCGCTGCCCGATGGGCGTGCACCGAGGCCGCCCTGGGCCAGATGGAAGCTCCCCTGGAACAGAACCTGGGGTTTGAAGGGCTCGGCGGAGCCCTGGACCAAACGCGCGAAACGCTCGCCTCCGACCTCGCGGCCCACCTCAGTAAGATCACTGACGCGCCCCAGAGAAGTCAGAGACTCACAGGTCGAGAGCCTCGCATTCGCTGGGCGCCAGCTCGAGCCGCAGAGGGGCATCGCCGCTGCAGCTGGAGATCCTCGGCCAGCCTGCCGCGCTGGCTTAAGAAAGTGGTGGCGGACGCGCGCAAAGTGCTAAAGATGCAGTGCGACCCGCTCCAGGGCACCTCGCATGACCTCCAGGGCCACCCAGCAGCTAGTGATGAAGATGATGACCTCGGAGCCTTCCTTCGAGTCACTAAAGCCTGATCACAGACGGCCCCCATCGATCTTCGGCGCGACCAGCTGAACCTCGCCATCGCGAATGACCTGAACCTGTGCGCCGACGCCGATAAAAGGGCTCGACCGTGAAATCCAGAGTGGAAAAACCAGCGGCGAGACGAATTGGAAACAACGGGTTGCGGTTAGTTTGCAGCGAGGCGTTGGTTGGGAGCACAAATGGTCAAAAGGATAATGTTCGCGGAAGCTGCAGAAAGTTTGGAGGCCAGGAGAGGGCAAGTGGTTTGGGCGGCCCTGCGATCTCACGCAAGCCGACGCCGAGCGACTCTCGGGCGCCCCCCAGAAGAGAAAAAACAACATTTTTGCATAAAAAAACAGCCCGAGTGCGCCGACCCGGTCCCGAATCGCTTGCCGAGCTGGGGCCCGTCACGGCCGGGCGGGCCCTGATAGCAGTCGAACGTTCCAACCACGTCGCAGCCTCCACGCACCGCGGCTTCCATCCTAGGCACTTGGCGCCGCTCGAGCAGAAGGGGCTCGAGCCCGCCGCCCGTTCCCGCAACTCGCGCGAGGCCGCGGGCCTCTTCCCGCCGCAGGCGCACGCGACGGAGCACGGGCAGAAGGAGGGCTCCGAGCGCCCCAGCTGCGGAGGCAGCGGTCTCATGACCGCTATCTGGAGACTCTGGGCCCGCCTGAGACAGCCAGCGGCCAATTGAGGGGAATTCAAAACATCGCCGACCCTACCTGGCCCGCCAATCTCCGAGGCGGGAACGCATGCATGACCACCGCCCGGAGGATCAATTTTCGGGGACTTCGGCAGGCGGTGGATCTGGACATTTTCGGGCCCCCGGGGGGCCAGCATATATCCATATCCACCGCCCGCTGGGGCACCAGGACGTCGTTTTTTTTTCCAGGCGGTGGATATGGATAAATTCCCGCCTCGAACAATCAGGGAGGGGACTTCTGGAGACGGTTTATTTGCGAGCGTTTCAGGCCGAGGCGGTCCACTACGAGGTGTCCAGAGATGCGCCGCTGCTATCCTTCGGGGCCGATGTAACGACCATGAGCACGCTGATAGAGATCAATGGTATTTTCGAGCTGCCTCGACGGGGTCAATCAGGCGATTGCGGTGCTAGTGTCGAACCAGTGCAGAGGCCCAAGGTTTGTGGCGAGCCTAGGCCAAGCAGTTGTCGTGGGCGGCCCGCATCATGGCATGCCAGTGGGCTGCAGTTTCGCCACTTACGTCGTCCAGATGTTTGGCATTGTCCCGCTCGATGTCTGGGCCCAGGGCAATCCAAACGCAGACCTCCGCGTGTTCATAGATGACCTCCTCCTCCAGTCCCAAGATACGAACCCCAAGGACCTAGTTAAGAACCTCTCCTTCGGCGCCTCCTGCCCGAAGGACACGATCGGGATCGGCGAGGGATGCCATGTGGCTCAGCGTAAGCCTGTCGTCTTGGCCTCGTCAATCGTTGTTCGAGACCCCCTCGCGAAAGCCCTCGTAGCTTGACCCAGAATTCAAACAGTTATGAGAAGGCGGAAGAGGTCGCATCGGGAAGCGATTCGCGTAAGGCGTTGTCGTTTTGGTTGGCTCCAGTCTTTGGGTCAGCCGCGCTCCCTCCCTCCCTCCCCTCCCCGCTAATCCCCCCGCTCGCCCGCCACCTCCTTTACCTGGGCGCGCAGCCCGCATTCTCCCGATGACGCAGAACGCGATGGGGTCGTTTGGCTGGGGCTGCAGGTCGGCTATGACGCGCGTCCGCGGATAGAGAACAAATCAACGCCATGGGAGGGGAGCGAGGGGAGGGAGGCAAGCTGGGTTTAAGTCGGGCGTGTCTCCCTACAGGGGGATTCTGGGCGAAAAATAAAACATGGTCAAAAAATACCCCCAAATGGTCAACACATCTGCAACGAATGATGTCAGATGAGGTTCGGGCGCACCTAGCTTTAAGTCGGGCCTGTCCCTCTACAGGGGGGATGTTCAAAAATAGCCAACCAATAGTATGGGAACGATTTTGTTGCAGATGTGTTGACCATTTGGGGGTATTTTTTGACAGTGTTTTATTTTTCGCCCAGAACCCCCCTGTAGGGAGACACGCCCGACTTAAACCCAGCTTGCCTCCCTCCCCTCGCTCCCCTCCCCCCTCCCCAGGCGCTGCCCCCCCCCGAGCCGGCGGCGGCGGTGGCGGCGACGGTGTCGGCAGCGCAGGCGGCGCCGGCGGCGAGGGCGACTGCGAAACCCTTGTCGGTTGTCGTGGGCACTCCTTCGGGAAGGGGGGGAGAGAGGAGGAGGGAAAGAGGGGGTCGGGGGGTGGAACGGAGGATGGAGGGAGGAAGGGGGAGGGCGAGAGGGAGGGGGGCGGAACGGCAGACGGAGGGGGCGAGGATGAGGGAACCTTGAGATACGACGTTGCGCAAGACGTGCCTCATCGCGACAAGTCACGACCGGACCCCTACAGACTCCATCTTCTGCCGCAGTTTTTCGAGCCGCGTCAGCCTGTCAGGCGGGCGACAACTCCCTGTGTGAAAAGATGCAGCGCCCCGCTCTCAAGGGAAGGGGGCGGAATGGAGGACGGAGGGAGGGGGGTCCCTTCGCCCAGAAACCTGATGTTTCGATGTTTGTTCAACGGGGTCCTCGTCCTCCCCCTCCTCCTCCCCCTCCTCCCCCTCCTCCCCACCCTCCGCCCCTTCCTCCTCCCCGTCCTCCCCTCCTCACGACCAGCACGCTCGATGGCTCGCCGGAGAAGCAATTCGAGAGTCGGCTGTCCTCTGCTCGGGCGTGCTTTTGCACGTGCAGGGCGCTGTTCACACACACGGCCAGGTCTCTCAAGAGGAAGCTCAAACTCCTGAACATGACGGTCAAACCTTCGCTGCTGTGTGGGGGCGGGTGCGTGAAATCCCACCGTGCACCAGGCGAGGGCGCTGTCCGAGGTGCAAGGGAAGATGGTCTGGCGCATTCTTCTCAGGAGGGAAACAGCACGGACACAATGAATCGTCGATTCCCCAGAAAATATGAAAAAATGTGGGAGGTGGGGGGGGGAGACGAAATCCGAGGAAATATATGAAAATCTTGGGAATATGTTTTTTTGTGTCTATTTATTTGTGTGTCCCAGGGCCCATTCATCGTCGTATTCCAAAACGGGAGCATGAGTCGATGGCCGAATATATGCACCAGACCGCGAAAATGGTTACAGACACGATGCACCAGCACGGCGTGGAATCGTGGGTCAGGGCGTGGAGGAGGGAGCAGCACGACTGGGTGGGGAAAGTTGTGCGCTAGGGTCTCCGCGAACCAGAACGCATACCGGTGAAAACCTTAACCAGGAAAAACAGCATACGTTCGCTTCATCAGCTTGCATGTCATCACAGCGGGTGGCAGGGGCATCCGAATGGTTTTCGACCGTGGAGATGGTGAACAGAGATTTATATTTTCTTCTATAAGCGAGATGTTCTATGGACCTCTGAGGCTTACGATCAAACCGCCTGGGCGCAGCATCGTGAACAATATGTTGTTCGTCGTGACCCTCCTCATGCAGACCAGTCACTGGTCAGATTCGTCGACTTAAACCATGTTGAGCTGAACGTAGTGGCGCTTCCATCGCGGATCCTGTGATGCCCCCAAAAACGCAAAACATGTCTCCTCCCTTTCTCTTCCCTCTCCTCCTCCTCCTCCTCCTCCTCCTCCTCCTCCTCCTCCTCCTCCTCCTCTTCCTTCTCTTCTTTCTGCTCCTCCTCCTCCTCCTTCTCCTCGTCCTTCTCTCCTCCTCTCCTCCTTATCCTCCTGCTTCTCCTCCTTCTCCTCATCTTCCTCCTCCTCTTTTTCCTCCTCTTCCACCTCATCCCCCCAGAACGCTTCCCGGCCTTTCGTCCTGAATCCTTTTTTGATGGCCCTTGGGCCCAGCGAGGGCCTCCAGAGGCCGAAATCGGCGAAAAGCTTTCGCCCTGGAGCGTGTTTCTCTATTGCTTGGGGCATAATGAGCATAATAGCCTAACGCCCCCCCCTCCCCTCCCCCCATAGCGTAACGCCCCCCCCGTGCGCACCGGGCACTGCCGCCGTGCGCACGGCGGGAGGGAAGCTTTACATCATACCCCCTCCCCTGGCCCCCTCCCCAGAGATCCGATGTCGTGATTTTTTCAATGCGCGGTCCCTGGAAGCCTCGACCCATTCCCCAGGACCGGTTTTTCATCCTGAGTCGTTTGTTGACGGTCCCGAGGCCCGGCGAAGACCCCTAGGGGCCGAAATTTGCGAAAAACCTCCGTCGCGATTTTTTCCAGTGCGTTGGATCTCTGGGTCCCCCCCCCCGTCCCCTATCGTGCCCACTCTCGCCGAACATGCAGAAGCGCGTGCGCGCGCCTGGATCTCGGGGGGCGCCTGCCGCGCAGCGCCGTCTGGCCGGCCCTGCCCCTCCTCTCCCCCTCCCCCTCCTCCTCCTCCTCCTCCTCCTCCTCCTCCTCCTCCTCCTCCTCCTCCTCCTCCTCCTCCTCCCCCTCCTCCTCCTCCTCCTCCTCCTCCTCCTCCTCCTCCTCCTCCTCCTCCTCCCTCCTCCTCCCTCCTCCTCCTCCTCCTCCTCCTCCCTCCTCTCCTCCTCCTCCTCCTCCTCCTCCTCCTCCTCCTCCTCCTCCTCCTCCTCCTCCTCCTCCTCCTCCTCCTCCTCCTCCTCCTCCCTCCTCCAGCTCCTCCCTCTCCTCCTCCTCCTCCTCCTCCTCCTCCTCCTCCTCCTCCTCCTCCTCCTCCCTCCCTCCCTCCCTCCCTCCCTCCTCCTCCTCCTCCTCCTCCTCCTCCTCCTCCTCCTCCTCCTCCTCCTCCTCCTCCTCCTCCTCCTCCTCCTCCTCCTCCTCCTCCTCCCCGCCCACCGCCCCCGGGGCCAGGAGGCACCGCTCCGAGGCGCTGCTGTCGGCGTCCGAGGCGCTGCGCCTCGGCGGCGCGGCGGAGCACGCGGCCGGCAACGCCTCGGCGGGCGGCGGGGCCGCCCAGGCGCCCCGCCCGCAGTGAAGCAGTGGCGGAGCGTCCCGGCGTGCCTGTCGCCTTACGAAACCATGTTCTAAGAACCTCTTGCGTGGCATCGCTCGGACGTGTGCATTTTTCCTTCGGCGAGGGCCATCGAGAGGCATCCTTGATCATTTGGCGAAGAAGCCACGCACGAAACCCGGCAAAGAGGGGGGTGATGACTAGGGGGGGTGTATATCATGGCGGGGGCCATGATGTTTCCCCGGATTTCAGGGCGCCTCTCCTTATTTCATTACGTCCCTGGACCCCCCCAAGGGCCGCGCACATGCCGCCGGCCATGATTTGCACCCCCCCCTCTTGGACGCCCCCCTCTTGGCCGCCTCCGAAACAATGTTCTAAGAACCTCGTTGTGTTTTCCACGAAATGTTCTTAGAACATTTCTGGCGGAGTCTGCTTTGTTTTATCACATCGGTTGTATGTTCTAAGAACATCGCTTTGTTCTTAGAACATTTTGGGGTTCTGAGAACATGTCGTGGTAGGGCTACAGGAATGCCCGGACGGTTGGTCCCTGCTCAACAGACCCTCTCGCGCTGTGAAGACATCACGACGGGAGGCTTTTCGCTGCTTTCGGCCTCCGCGGGCCCTCGCCGGGCCTCGGGGCCGCCAGAAGACGACCCGGGATAAGAAACTGGTCCCTGAGAAGGGGTCCGGACCTCTGAGGGTCAACGTTGTGAAAAACAAAAAAAAACACGACGTAAAAAGTCTGGGACGGGGGGGGAGCGGAGGAGGGGGAGAGAGGGAGGGAAGGAGGGAGGGAAGGGGCGGGAGCGGGGACGGGGAGGGAGCGGGGAGGGAGGGAGGGAGGGAGGGAGGGAGGTGGGAGGGGGGAGAGCGGGGGCGGAGGGAGGGCGGGAGGGAGGGAGCGGGGGGTCATGGGCGAAGGAAGGAAGTGCATGTACATGAGTCCGCGTTGGTTTCGCACGTGAGCGCTGCGAGAACGTTCGTAAAACGAGGCTGGCCTCGCGGATTGGGGGGCCGTATTCATGTGCGTGGCTGGGCGCGCACGTCTTGTGTGGGCTCTTTGCGGGGAGGAGGAGGGGGAGGACGAAGAGGACAAGGAGGAGGAGGAGGACGAGGAGGAGGAGGAGGAGGAGGAAAACGAGGAGGAGGAGGAGGACTTGCAGTTCTTGGTGGACCACCAGGACAAGGTCCAAGGTGAATACAACTCGCTTGCGGAGTTTGCATCCACACTGGGCGGCGAGCTGGCCTACTGGAAGGACTTCTTCGCAGTGCTCGTCGCCGCCACCTGCAATTGCACCACAAAGAACCTCGGCTTCTTGAACACCGACGACTTTTTGGCGAACCCAGAGAACCGGTCGCCAGTGCACCTCCCGCCCGGCACGCAGCCTGACCCGCCGCCATCTGCGCCTCCCCGATACGCGAGGTACCGCGCCAGCCGCCAGCCGCGCTTTGACTTTCAGGGGCTGCGCGACACCAAGTCGGTCCCTGGATTGTTGGGCACACGTGTTGGGGGGCGCGCATATTCTAGATGTTCCAGGAGGGACCTCGTTCGTCCGTAGGCACAACCTGCTCGGTGAGAGAGGTGCCTGAGAACTGTGTGCTTCCCACAGGAAAACAGCAATTCTGTTGATGGTGAGCCGATGCAACTGCAGAGGGCGAGCGACGCCTGGCTCAATAACCACGTTGACTGCGCCGTGCCGTGCCGCGCCGTGCCGTGCCATTTCGCGCCAGTGCCGTGCCGCGCCGTCTTGCGCCGCGCCGCGCCGCTCCGTGCCATGCCGTTCGGCGCGACGCCGCGCCGCGTGCCGAACCGCGCCGCGCCGTGCCCGACGCGTGCCGCGCGGTGACACGCCGCGCCGCACCGTGGCGCGTCGTGCCCGCGCCGCGCCGCGCAGTGCCTCGTGGCGCCGTGCCGTGCACGGCCGTGTCGCGCCGCGCCGTGCGGCGCCGCGGCGCCGTCGCCGTCCCCGCGCGGCGCCGCGGGGGGCCGACCGGCGACGCGCCGCCGCCTGGCGGCCCTCTCCATCTCCATTGCCACTGCCGCGTAGCGCCGCAGCTGCCCAAGCTCAAGACTTCCTCCGCGCGGGCCGCTGCGCGCTCGCGACACGCGCTCCAAATGCCAGTCGCCAGCGAGATGCGGCAACCGAAGGGCTTCAGCTTCCACCAGGGGCGCAGGATCGCGCTTCTCCGCGACGCCAGCCAGAGCGACGCCAGCCAGATGGAGAGGTTGGAGATCGCGAAGAAAGTGAAGAACCTCCTTGGCAAGAGGCCCTGACCACGGCGCGTGGCCAATGCGCTCCGCCGGGTTACGGCGCGCCGCGGCCATTTGAAGTGCGGCTGCAAAAAGTGCGGGAAGAAGGCGGACACGGTGACAAAGGAGGTGGAGCAGTTCTAGGTGAAGAAATTGCGGGAGCTTCGTTGCCGCGCCGCATGCGCGTCGACGCCGTTGCAATTGCTGTTGGCGCCCGAAATGAACGCCAAGGTCACGGCGCGCTAAGTTCCCCTCGAAGAAGGGCTACCGTTGGTTGCCGAATTGGCAGAAGCGGTTGCGCCCCAAGGACCAGAGGGACGCCCGCCTGGCCTCTGCGAAGAAGGTCCCCCGGATGACCACGGCGGAGCTGAACGCGGCCTTTTGACATGCGCCTTGCACGGCGTCGTCCTCGCGATGCCCGCGAGGGGCGAGACCGAGCGGATGAACTTCTGCAAGCATGGTAAAGAGTACATGTGGTGCAAGAACGCAGAGGCGTTCACCCCGAAGCTCTCCGGCGACGACGAGTGCGGCAAATCGGTCTTGTTGGCTCGGGCAGTGCCCATGTGGGCTGGCTGCGCCGCGGGCGGGCTCTCCATCGTGTCTTTCCGTCCCTCGAATAAGCTCTGCGGCGAGGACCGAGCGAAGATCGTGAGCCGGGGTGGCCTCGTGAAGGCCGTGAAGGCGGTGAAACCGAAGAGGAAGAAGGGCCCGTGGTCCGTTCTCTGCGACAGCGGGCCCTTCTTGCGGGCGAAGGTCAGCAACGCCGCGGTGAGGACGGCGAGGGTGAAGCTGTGGAACGTGCCAGCTAAGTCGCCCGACTTGAACCCCGCACAGCGCTGCTTGTCCTGGCTGCTGGTCTTGGACGACGCCGTGAATAAGCGGCCCGTTCTGGGCAAGACGGCGCACAAGGCACGGGTTCGGAGCGTCGCGAGGAGCAAGAGGGCGCAGGCCGCAGGGGCGGCGCAGGCGAAGTTGATGAAGCGCGCCTGCCAGGAAGTGGTGCGCAGGAAGGGTGCGGCCACGGGTTTCTGAGCCGGCCGAGGCGCGGTGGCGCGCGACGGCGTCCCGGCGGGTCCGAGCGGCTGGCTCGGGCGCTCCATCCGCGTCGGCCGTTTGCCGCGCGGGCGAGAAAACTCCGCGCGCGGGGGGTGCTATAGTTTTGGCCATCAAGACGTCACGGTTTGGGACCCCCCACCCCCCCCGTAGAATCTGAGCGACAAATTTTTGGTCAAGGAGCGGTCCGGATCCGATGGGTTCGTACCCCGTAACAGTTTTATCCATGTATGTGTCTAAAGTATATAATAGGCCCCATAAAGAATAGACCCGGGAGTCGCTCCAGTTTGGACCCACTCACAGCTCAATCACTCCGCATGGGTCACTTGAGATTGTCAGTGCCATTTTCGTCACCGTCGTTGTCATGCCGATCTCAACGCGATGCTTCATTGCATTCGTTCTCGCTTTGACGCGGCGTGGCCTTGGGAATCCATAGTCAACGCTGTCGGTCTTGCTTCGCCGTCGACCATCCCAGAGAGCTCTTGAAGGCTGCATCAGGGCCCTTTTGCATCCTAATCGGTCGTCCGCGCCACGCGGGACCAGCTATGCAATTCTCCGCCGATGGCCGGAAACCTTAACACCTGGCAAGCATAGCTGTTACTACGTAGCCTAGGCAACATAGCTTGCACCACATAGCTTGCACCGCATACCTGGCACCACGCAGAGTGCAGCGCGTACATTGCGCAACGTCGCGTGGACCACCCAGCTTGCACCACATAGACTGCACCACGCATTTTGCGCCGCATGGCCACACCACATGGTTTTCGCATCCACAGTGCAATAGCTTTCTCTTGAGGGCCCACGCTGGCTGACATTGTGACTTTGAGTAGTTGCGAAGGGGAGTGGGGGAGGAAGGGGGGGAGGGGAGGAGAAGACTCATACTTGCGCCATGCGATGCCCAGGGGGTGGGAGGGGAGGGCGGGTGAGGCGGAGGGAGGGGAGGGACTAGGAGGAGGAGGAGGAGGAGGAGGAGGAGGAGGAGGAGGAGGAGGAGGAGGAGGAGGAGGAGGAGGAGGAGGGGGAGGATTCAAAGGAATGCGAAATGTGCACGACGGCTCCGGACCCATCGTGGTCAGCCCGCTGTGTTTTTGCGTCCGTGTAGTCGCGACGTTTCGGATGTCCCGACTTCGCAGCATGAGGTCGCATCAATATACATCACTGAGGAAGAGGATGAACAGCAACAGGAAGAGGAGCAACATGTGCAAGATAATGAGGAGGAGTGGCTTGGCGATGAGCAGGGGAGGACGAGAGCGGAAGAGGTTGGGCCCCGAGGTCGGATCCTCGTGCCTGAAGCCCGGAGCAGGCGTGAGCCGGCCCGCGAACCCCCTGGTGTTCATCCACATCCCGAGGAACGCCGGCGCCGTTGGGGAGAACGCCCCCTCCCCCGTCAGGGGGCAACGCCAGGGGACCCATCTGGTCTACAAGGCCGACGAGGTAGTGCTCGCCCCCCCTCGTTTCCGATGTTCGCGCGCGGAACCCCCACATGTTCTGAGCACGCCTGGAACCGCGGTATTCTTGTCGTCGTCACCTGCCCCTTTCCTCCCCCCCTCCCTCTTCGGGGCTCCCTCTTTTCACCGGCCTCCCCATCGTTTGAGTCCATCCCCGATGTGGCGATCCTCTGTTTTGCGCCCCCCGCGTCCTGATAGGTGGATGAGGGCCGCCGCCCAGGCGTGCACACTCAAGGGAAAAAACACCAGTCGGACCCGACAATTGACGTTTAATAAACGGCCCTGGACGTCTGAAGAGCCCCGCCATGCTCGATTCTTTCCTTGGCCTTTGCGAAACGGCGTCGCTTGCCGGGGTGATTCTTTGGGGGGGGGGATTTTCTGCCCTCTACACACCCTCCACCAAGACCAACCCCACGTGGAGGGCTTCTCCAAAGGGGATAGGCGCGCGCCAAATCCATGGATCGCTAATCCATGTTTGCGCGCCCCCGATATAGATGTAGCGCTGGCGCCGTCTAAGAAACAGCCTCCTAAGAAGCCGCCCCCCTCCCCCATACCCCCGCGTGCGCGCCGCCATGAGGAGGAGTACGGTCGAGAGCTTCTGGTTCGCGTGTCGCTCCGCCCGTTCTGGCCCACCATTTTCGGTGCGACGCGCTATCCATTTTGCGGGCTCTCAAGCGTCAGCGTCCCGAACCTCCCCGACCTCCCGCGCCGCGGAGCGGGGCGGCACGCTATCACCAATCATGCCATAGCGCGTCGCCAGGGACGCCTTGGCGACACGCGATCCAAAAGTTCCCGACCGTGCGTCAGATCGGAGGAGGGCCAGTCGAGACAACGGCGGCCATCCCTAGCGCTTTTCCTCCTCCTCCCTCCTCCTCCTCCTCCTCTTCCGCCTCCTCCTCCTCCTCCCTCCTCATCCTCCTCCTCCTCCTCCTCCTCCTCCTCCTCCTCCTCCTCCTCCTCCTCGTCCCCCTTCTCCTCCTCCTCCTCCTCCTCGTCCTCCTCCTCCAACTTGGGGGCGTCTCGGCGCCACGGGAGGATGCGCCTCGGGAAACAGGCCAGGATGTACCCTGGGACTCTGGGAGAGGTCAGGCGATGGATTCTGAGTGGCTGTGGGCCAGGCGGGAGAGCCGCCAGTGTCTCAATGTGCATTCTCCCGGGTAGCAGGATGAGGCGATGGCGGAGGAGGAGGAGGTGAGGGAGGGAGGAGGAGGAGAGGGAGAGGGAGGAGAAGGAGGAGGAGGAGGAGGAGGAGGAGGAGGCGGGGGAGGAGGAGGGGGAGGAGGAGGAGGAGGAGGCGGGGGAGGAGGAGGAAGAGGAGGAGGAGGAGGAGGAGGCGGGGGAGGAGGAGGAAGAGAAGAGGAGGAGAAGGAGGCTGAGAGGAGGAGGAAGAGTCAGGAGGAGGCACCGGGGAAGACAGGAGGAGGGCGAGGAGGAGGAGGAGGAGGAGGGATGCCGCCCGCGATGGTTCCAGGGACCGAATCTCGACACGTTTGGAAGCGCCTCGGGCGGATCTGGCGCGTCAGGATTGCTCGAGGCCCGTTGGGGGCCTTCGAGAGCATAAGGAGGTAAGCTTCGAAAGCCCTCGGCGTGCTGCCTGTAGGGCCGTTGGCTTGGGCTGCCTTCTCCAAGTCCACTGCTTTGTTCGGATGGCTATGCCGCGTAGTTTACCAACACAAGGCAGCGCCAAGTTCAAACGCAAGTGAGCATAGCAGCAGCGCGCCGATCGCATTGAAATGCGCGGCCTTGTCGTTGGCTGACCGTCGAGCTGTTTCCACCTGCAGTTCGCGCGTCGTTTGACGGTCCCATTTGTCTAGTTCCTCACGTGGGGGGCGGGGGGCGTTTTTCATGCGTTCATTTGGCGCCGCTGGCATTTCTGGACTTCGCTTGTTTATGTTTTCCCCCCTCCTGCGGCAATCTACATGGCATCCGCTTCTGAAGCCCAGTGGCTCCGGGAGTCGTTGGTGCGGGTATGGTGCATTGAGTTCACGTGTATCACCAAATATGTATCACTTGGGCTCTATCGCCTGTCGGAGAGCTACACATCGGGGCATCTTGCTAACACGTAGGACGCATGCTGTCAGGCATCGTGTATTCAGGCAGGCCTACTCCTAGGCCGCAACCCGTCTCATCTCTAGGGCCCGTTATGCGTCATCAACAGCTGCAGGGCTTGCTGGTGTTTCTTGTGGGGGCTGACGTCTCAGGTCGCGTCGAGTGCGCACAACTTGCTAATTTCTCAGGAGGGGGTTTCGGGCTTTCTGTTCATGTGTTGTCCTTGTCCTCCTGCTCCTCCTTTCCCTCTCCTGAACATCATCGTCGTTGTCGTCCTCTGCATGCGCGCCCAGTCCATCCCAGGTTCGTCCATAGAGATGTGCTCGCAGCTAGACCCGCAGCTGCCTGCCAGGACGGCCTGCTCTAGCGCCTTGCTTTGTCAGCCGCCGTCCCATCTTTTATATGAACTCGCTCGGCACTTCAGCCAATGCGCTAAACATTGGCACGCAGATGAGAACCTGGGGTGCGTTTGAGCAGAGCTTCAGGGCGGGCAGGTAAAGCAAACATGGTATTCACATCCCTCGCGAGGAAGCATTTTTGGATTGCGATGCTGGTGAAGCATATAGCCTGTCAGCAAACTATGGCACGCAGCAAAAAATAGAAGAAGAAGAAGAAACATCAAGGAAATATGGCACGCAGCTTCCAGAGACAATTCAGCACAGACAGCAGCTGCACTAAATGTCGAGCTCCACTGCGAGGAGGGAGGGAGGGAAAGAGGGGGCGAGAGAGACAGAAAGGGAGAGAGGGGCGGAAGAGAGTGAGACCGAGGTAGGGAGCGTGCGTGTGCGATATAGATAACTGCTTACATCTACATATGTATATCGAGAGAGAAGATAAAGAGAGAGAGAGAGAGAGACAGAGAAAGAGCGCACCAATCCCCACCCTTTGCGCGGTCGGAAAGTCCCCGGCTGGAAGAGCGAGCGGGTCGGGGCCAGGGTGGCCAAGAAGGGGGTCGCCAGGGTGGCCCAGAGGGGCCGCATGCGAATGGCCAGGAGCGTGTCTTTTAATTGCTTGGGGCATCATGGGCATCATAGCCCCTGCCCCTCCCCCCTCCGTTGCGCTCCGGGCACTGCCGCAGTGCGCACGGCGGGGGGGAGGCGTTGCATCATACCCTCCCCTTGGCCACTCCCCCCCCCAAATAATGACCAAGATCGCCGACAAAAATAGACACGCGCTCCGGGGGTGGCCACAAAGGGAGAGACGTTCCCCCCTTGGCGTGGTCGAGAGGCCCCTGGCTGGAAGAGAGAGCAGCGGGCGGGGTCGGGGCGACATCGGGGCGTGGCACCCCGGCCGCGCGCCCGAACAAAAAAAATCGAGGGCGTAAAAAAACGCCCCTGCCCTTAGGTCGGGCCTGTCCCTCTACAGGGGGTGTGGATTAGCGCCGGGCCCCGTGTCCCTGGGACATCGCGGATCGCCGACGCCGAGCGAGGCAGCACCGGCCGAATTTTGGGGAGGGCACCTCCCCCGATCCGTGGGTTTGGCGACCGCGCGCCAAGTCCATGAGTCGCCAATCCATGTTTGCGCGCCCCCGATTTAAGTCGGGCCTGTCCCTCTACAGGAGGAATACTCAAAAATAGTCAGGGGACGATTTTTTTTATGTATTTGTTGACTATTTTGATTTGTCTTGCGCATTTTTATTTTTCACCGAAAATCCGCCTGTAGGGGGACATGCCCGACCTAACCCTTGCTCTCCGAGGTGGCTTTCGACGTTTGGACCTTTTACATGTCGAGTTTTGGCCCGGGCCACCCGGTGGATTATATTGTGTTCGTTTTTTATCCATTGTTTTGCCGATCGGCGCGGGTTCTCGCACTCCCCCCTCCCCCCCCCCCTGGAGTGGATCTTGGCTGTTTCTACTAGCGCCTGTTTCGAGCAGATGGGGTCCCTCCCCCAGAGGACACACGGTTCCGCACAGCCGCATTAAGCAGAGGTCCGGAGCCAGACCCTCCCCTTTCCCCCCCCCTTCCGCCCAATGTCGAGACGCCGAATAAAAAACGCTTACTTTTGGACCTTTTACATGTCGGGTTTGGCCTGGACCACCCCGTGGATTATATGCCAAACGTCGGCTTGCGAGACCTTCGTTTGCAGTGGCTTTCCTGCGAGGAGGGCTTCGAACCCGTCGACGACGGCTTTGTTGTCAGTGAAAATGTAGGCGGGCCTCTCCACCGCAACGGTGAGATGGAGCAGCGCAAGGGTCTCAGCACGTTGCGCTGACTGCGCTAGGCCATGCACTCGGGCAGAGTGGTTCGACCGATGGTCTGGCCCGTAGTACGCGCCGAAATGTGTCCTGGCGAGGAGATGTTGGGCCCGGTGCCAGCAGGCCCCATCAGTGGCCGCCTACGCCCACCTAGCTCCCGTGGTGGGTTCCGTGTATTCTTCGAGGTGGTTCTCGCCATGGCCTTCTGGCGGCGGTCTAGGGATGGGCTGCGGGAGCTCGTCTTGGGCGATGTTGGCCTGTAGTTCGAGGGCCGCAGTGCCGTGGGCGTCCTCTTCCCGTGGGCCGCAGTGCCATGCATGCGGCTGGAGATCTCTCCGCTGTCCCTCCGAGATCACTGTTGCCAGGGCCGTTCTTCCGCTGTTCCTCCGAGTCGGGCGTCCTCTTCCAGTGGGTCGCAGTGTGTGCTCCTGAGTCTCCTCTTCTCTGGCTGAGCGGTGATGGGTCTGTTGAGATTCCCGCGCGCATTTTCTTGCGTTGAGTGTGGTCGCTGTCGCCGAGCCAGTTGCACAGGAGGCCGTGTTGCTATGCAGCGCATTGGGCGTTACCTCTAGTTCTTTGGAGCCATGTGTTGGCGAAGTAGCCGAGGCCTTGTTCAACCTCCGCCACCGCTCCGAGGTCGCGTCTTGTGGTGGGGGCTCGTCGGAGGAAGGCGCGCTTCTGCGATGTCCTGAGCACGCGCGTGAACATCCCGATAGGCAAGTGCAACCACGAGATATGCGCGCCCAAGTCATCGTACATCGTGCCACAGGTTGGCCATCTCCATTCTCGTTGGGCGACGGTTTGCCAGATTCTGCCTGTGGGGCCACCTCCTTGGAAGGTTTGCGCGTGGTCGCGCACCTCTTTGGCTTTGGCATTGAGACTGGTGTCTCTCCGCGGCTGCATGCGCGCGCCTTGGAGTGTCTCCCGCTGCGTCATAGCGGTGAGTTCCAAGGCATGGCTTGGGACAGTGAAGGCAAAACAGGGCCCACTAGGGTATCCATGATCGTCGCTTGGGGCGGATGGCGGCGAACAGCGTGTTGTCGTAGAGGCTACGCGCTTTCAGGCTATGTGCTTCGATGCCAGTGCCTGTGGTGCACACACTTGCCACCATGGACCTTGCGGAGCGAGTTCTTGCGTAGGTGCTTTGGCAACCGATGCCAGGGAGTCGGGCCACCGTTGGGCGAATTCGGGCGCCGACAGAGGCAAGAATGTTGAGGTCCGTGATTTCCGCTGCTGATGCAACGTTGATGTAGCTCCCCATCAGCTTCGCCTGGTGATGAGCGTTAAGGGGTTGGCCGTGATGGTTGTTGGGCTGCCACCTGGTGGTGGAGCCCCTCCCAAGCAGCTCAGCCCACCACTGTCCCTTTTTACCTAACAGCTTCTGCTGATAGGTTTCTAGTAGGGTCAAAAGAGAGCAGCAGATGACTCCACAGGGGGGTCGGGGCGGGTGCCGGGGAGGAGAACCGGGAATCGTTTTTCGCCAACAGTCACACACTTCGTGCTCTTCGACCTCCCAGAACTCCATTCCCGGGCCACATTCTGGAGAACCGGGAACCGAGGAACCGAGCCGGGCTCGCTTTTCGCCAACAGTCACACACTTCGTGCTCTTCGACCTCCCAGAACTCCATTCCCGGGCCACATTCTGAATGCCCGGAGCCAACTGTAGGCCACTTCGTGCTCTTCGATTTCCCAGAACTCCATTCCCGGGCCACATTTTGGATGCCCGGAGCCAACTGTAGGCCACTTCGTGCTCTTCGACTTCCCAGAACTCCATTCCCGGGCCACATTTTGGATGCCCGGAGCCAACTGTAGGCCACTTCGTGCTCTTCGAGTTCCCAGAACTCCATTCCCGGGCCACATTTTGAATGCCCGGAGCCAACTGTAGGCCACTTCGTGTTCTTCTAGTTCCCAGAATTCCATTCCTGGGCCACATTTTGAATGCTGAGGCAGGCTGATGCTGCGGCCGAGGCAGGCTGAGGCTGAGGCAGGCTGAGGCTGAGGCCGAGGCTGAAGGCAGACTGAGGCTGAGGCTGAAGCAGGCTGAGGCTGAGGCTGAGGCAGGCTGAGGCTGAGGCTGAGGCAGGCTGAGGCTGAGGCTGAGGCTGAGGCTGAGGATGCAGGCTGAGGCTGAGGCAGGCTGAGGCTGAGGCCGAGGCTGAAGGCAGACTGAGGCTGAGGCTGAAGCAGGCTGAGGCTGAGGCTGAGGCAGGCTGAGGCTGAGGCAGGCTGAGGCTGAGGCTGAGGCAGGCTGAGGTTGAGGCTGTGACTGCGACTGCCGTTTCCGCTGCGACTGTCATCGCGAATGCGACTACGACTGCGAGAACAGCAGAATTCTACAACTGGATGTTCATCTGAATCTTAAGGGGAATGCTTTCAGATATGCTTCTACACATCGCTGTTAGGTTGCTTTGCTGGGATAATTTTAACCCGAGAGGCGGTCAAACATATCAGTTTCGTCAAGCGTCGCTTCCAGCTCCCTGGCCGAAGGGGCAGTGGCGTTGCTGTTATCAATGAAAGTGGTGCTGAGGGAATATGGCAGGTGTCGGCGCTGTCGTTTCGCCCAAATAAACTACAATCATAAGTTGAGAGAGTGAGGGTGAGAGAAGCAACACATGTATGGTATGTTCGTTTCGAGCACCCCCCACCGAATATTTGGCGATTGTCCCTGGCGGTGCGCCCCATTTCGACACATCCCTCGCGCGTTTCGTGGCCCCACAGGGAACCCTTCCGAAGGTTTCAATGGCAGGGCCCACGTGGTATCTTCGCCCCGTCGGCACACCTCTCACACACGTTCCGTGGCCCCATAGGCAAGCCCACCGCAGGCTCCAGTGGCAGTGTCAGCGTGGTACCCAGCCCCATGGCGTGAGACCCGCCACGCGGTCCGTGGCCCCACAGGGAGGTTGCGTCTACATGGCGCCCCGCTCCATTTCGGCACACGTTTCGCGCGCTTCGTGGCCTCACATGAATCCACACTGACAGGGTCCACATGACGCCCCACCCCATTGCGCCACACCCCATCACACGTTCTGTGGCTCCACCAGGAACTCCACAGGAGAACCGGCTGCCCCGCTCTTTGTTTTCCCACGCCACTCGCGCTTCGTGGCCCCACAGGGAGACCCCAGTGGCTGGGTCCACACGGAGCCCCACCCAATTTCGGCACAGAATTCACACGGTTCGTGGCCCCGCAGGGAGCTCCACCGAAGGTTCCAGTTGCGGTGCCCACAAAGTGCTCCGCCCCGCTTCGGGCGCACCCCGAGGGAGTTCCACCCATGTCGCCACACACCTTGCACGCTTCGTGGGGCTACCTTGTGTATTAGGGGGTCCTGTTTGTGGCCGCGTTGTGTTCATCAGACAGTGTTGGATTTCTCGCCAGGCAAATTGTGTGGCAAACGCCCGGGGCGGGATGTTAAGAATAACGGGGTGTGTAAGAGCGTGGCGGAATGGTGATTCAGCCACCATTGGACAAGGTCGTCCTGGTCTGCCATGCAGGTTGCGGTTGCCGCGTTCCAAGACATGTCTGCTATGGCGCTTGTTGTTTCGAAACAGTCGTTGCTGCTATTGGCGTGTCTCGGGCGGGCGTAACGAAGTGGCGCTCGTCATGCATGTTTATACCCGTGGCATGATGAGTATATCATTATGTGTCCCCATGTCATCTGTGGTTTTCCCGCGTCGTCTACCCTGGCGTCTGCCATGTCAAACTGGTCGTTGTTGTGAGTTCGATCCTGGGCCAGCGCGGCGGGTGTTCACGAACCGCGCCGAGGTGTTTCATCCACCTCCATAAGACAGCATCATGGACGTCAGACCGCACAATCGTCCCCGAAGCTCTTCGTAAAGCGGTCCAACCTCATCCTGTGCATCCTGAGGGAGACGAACAAAACAAGTTTGCGTAATGTTGTTAGCTGTCGGAAATGTGTACAGGTCCTGTGTGCGATTGCAGAATGAACGAACGCACCAACCGCGCCTATACCTCTTCACAAACATTGTTGCGATTTCACACGAGAGACGTGGCCAGACAGTATTGCCACGGCTGTGCACACTGCTTCTCATCCTCCTCATCAGCGCCTCCTCGTGCATCCTCCTCATCCTCCCTCCTTATCATCATGCTCTTCCTCCCCCCTCCTCCTCCTCCTCTTCTCCTCCTCCTCTTCCCCCAGGCTCATTGCGCCTTCCTGGCGAGCCGCCCTGTGTTGAAGGAGCGACACCGCCCGCCCCCCCGCCCCGCCCCAGCCAGCGCTGGGGCTGCGCGAACGAGAACATCCGGGGGCTGACCAGGAGCCGAGCCCGGCCGGAGTGGGGCTGCGGAGAGGCAGCCTGGCGGCGCGCACGAGGGGGTGGAGGGAGGGGGGAGGGCTTCTTAGAAGGAGGCTGCTCCTTGGGAGGCGCCGGCCTTACATATATAGACAAACTTCTAAGGAGCAGGGGTGGTTCTGAGAAGCCCTCCCCCCTCCCCCCACATCTATCTATCTATCTATCTATCTATCTATCTATCTATCTATCTATCTATCTATAGATATATGAGCTTCGAAGAAGCAGGGGTATATATATATATATATATTATATATATATATATATATGTATGAGCTTCGAAGAAGCAGGGGTGCTTCGGAGAAGCCCTCCCCCCTCCCCCCACCCCCCTCTGCGCGCGGCGGAGCAGCGGCGGCGTGCCCCGCAGCGTCTCGTGCCTCGGACTTCTCTTGCAGGGGGGGGGGGCCTCGGCGCCGAGGATACCGGGTGTGGCCAACGTTTAACCGTGCCCTGTGCGCTGATGTGCGCTGGGCATCCAGAACTCCGCAAGCCATGCGAACTGCTGCGCATCAGGTGCATTTTGTCTCTGAGCCAGCTGATCCGATTCACGAACCGTGCCACTCCTTTGAGAAGCCATGCCATCGGGATCCAAGGAGACAACGACGGTAGGGCGCGTCTCGACATCGTCTGGCATCCGCTCCGAGGTAAAAACAGAAAGGGATACCAGGTGTTGCTAGAAGCCCTCCCTGGCCCAGGGTGCCCACGGCCTCAAGAGAACCCCCTCGCGAAGCCCAGAGGGCCCCGGGCGCTCCCGCGTGGAGCGAAAAGATGGGGGCACCTTGGGCCAGGGGCACCTCTGGAGGGAAAGAAAACACACACACACAGACACAGTCGATCGTCGATTCCCCCCGAAGATATAGGAAACTATGGGAAATGGGGGAGAAGACGACAGTCCAGAAATGGGAAACTATGGGAAATGGGAAATATAGGAAACTATAGGAAACTATGGGAAATGGGAAACTATGGGAAACTATGGGAAATGGGGAGCATGGTGGGAATCCTGGCACCTGTGTGTGTTTCTTTGTGCCCCCCCCGGGCCCCTCCAGCACCTGCAGCAGGCCCCGAGGGCAGAGGGCGGCTCGAGCAAGACGCGGCCCGGACGTGGACGAGCCAGGGGCCCGGGGACCGATCTTGGGAGGGCCAGTCTTGGAGGCGAGTGCGCACCGTCGCCAGTGGGCAGCGGGTCCTGAGGGAAGCGGGCCCCGAGTTTTTGTTGTTGTTGTTGATGATGATGTTGAATATTATTACTTCTAAAGAATAATTATTGTTGGGCCCCCTGGTGCACGCCCCCCTCGCCGCGCCTAGGCCGCAGCCACGTTTTCATCATTTTCGTGAGGAAGCCTCAGGCAAAACGATGTCATCCAGATCCGGTTGTTTTGTTGACGCCCGCTTTCCCTTGCAAAAAACACTATAAAATGAAATTTCTTGTTCTAACATATCCAAATTTCAAGAATCCCTTGCAAAAAATAAGGTAAAGTGGACATTCGCGCGCGCAAGACGAAATCCTTCCAAAACCTTAGTTTTCGTAGCGATTTTAACATAAAAACATCAAAAAACCAATGGTTTTTCAACAAAAAAATGTCAAAATCTCATCCCGCGCGCTCTTGCGGATTCGTAGGAAACCCAACACTTTTTAAACATTTCTGTCAAACGGGCTTTTGCGAGCAACTTTTTCGAACTTCTGCAACAACGGTTGCGCACCTGCCAGGGCCATCATCCCTGTCAAATAATACCATGCGGGACACATTCGTTTTTTCTTCGCGCGCGCACGCCGTCGTCGTCGGCCGCGGGGCCCTGAATAGTAGCCACGGTCGTCCGCATGCCACGAAGTGAAGTGTCCGAACGTCATAGGGCGGGAAGCTGGGTGTGGGTGGTGGCGAAGAGTCGTTTGGAAATTTGGTAGAGCTTGAACCGGCCCCCCCACAAAGTGGGGGTATTGCCCGCCTCCTATGAAAACCGTGGCACTGGTGAGAACGGAGTGTCCCCACGTGCTAGTAATTGTTGTTGTTGTTGTTGTTGATGTTGATGTTGATGTTGTTGTTGTTGTTGCTGCTGTTGTTGTTGGTTTGTTCCGTGTTGGGCTTCCCGGGGCCTTCCCCAGGCCCCCGGACCGTCAGGAACGACTCCGGAGGAAGAGTTCGTCCCGGGGGAAGGCCCCCGGGTCCAAGACCCGGGGCCTGTCAGGACCCGTCTCCCCCGTGCTACAGGTGTTCCAGAAGAGAGAGCCGGCTCTCTTGCGTGCGTTACGGGAGGCACCTCGAGCCCGTGCCGACCATCTGTTCCCCTGGCCTACAATTATGAGGTTCCAACCTACTTTAGCCTTAACCACCAGAAAGAATCTCGAGCACCAAAAGAAGTACCGAAACTCGAGGGTTTTCACGTGTCGGGCTCTGGGAGACTTTGTTTCGACACTGTTCTGACACTCTTAACACACTTTTCTGGGTGTTCGAAATTATTTCTGGGATGTGGTCCTGAAGTCCGATGGGAGCAACATAAGCCTACAAGACGCCCAACATGTAGAAAGTATATTCGGGGCTGTCACGATGACCCACGCAGTTCTCGAGCTTCTACGAAATAGAAGCTGTAAGGTTCTCGTGCCTATCTTCATAGGAACTGACTGATGGGGAGGTGCTTCGGGGACCGACCACCTCGAGACTGGCCCGGGGAAGAGAGTCGAGAGCATTACCAGGGGTCCCCTCGGCGCGCTGTGGCAGGGGAGGCGCAGTGCGCATCGGCAGGCATCGAGAATCAGCGCCTGGAGTTCGCAGGGCCGCCCCACCTTGCTGGAGCCCGCAGGAGCATTCTATGACCAGAGCTGGCACGCATGCTTTGTATGAGGGGTCGCCTTGGAATTGGGAGAGCACTGGAGACGTCCAGAGGTCCTTGGGGGGCCCTGGAGGCTCATCGGGCTTTTCTGGAGGCCCACGAAGGCTTCTGGAAGCCATCGGGGATTGTCGGGGCCTTGGAAGTCCCTGGAGGCAGGTACTTCGACGCATCCCGAGGCCTCTTCCCCAGGGAACTCTCACGGGGTTCCAGCCAGCTCGACTCGACGCCTCGATGCGACACACCAACGGGTCAAATAAAGTATCCAGTTGCGCTGGTGATCATTTCTTGATTCACTCTTCTGCCGATCGGCGCGGGCCCCACCTCCCCACCTACCCCCCCCCCGTGGAGTAGATTTTGGCTGTTTTTGGCGCCTGTTTCGAGCAGGTGGAGTCCCTCCCCCATAGGACGCACGGTTCCAAACAGCCGCATTAAGCAGAGGTCCGGAGCCAGATCCCCCCCTCCATCCCCCTTCCGCCCTATGTCGAAACGCCGAATAAAACGCTCGCTTGCCGCGCGTGTTCTCCACCAGGATGGTGGAGGCGGCGAAGCAAGGCTGCATCGCGGCAGCGCAAGAAAGGCAGTAGCACCCATGGCGGTAACCAGCAAGTTGAGTGTCAAAGCGAAGGTGCTGGACGAGGAGGAGAAAGAATAGGGGGACGTGTGCAGTTCGCCGCCTGGTCGGGGCAAAGCTCAGGGCAGCCCCGGGAGAGCCAGCGGATCAGCCAAGTCCGCGGCTGGCTTTCGGTGCAGGACTCAGACTCTCGCCGAAGGCGCTGGTCGGGATGGGATCCCTGTTGCAGGGTCGGTCCTTGGAGCAACCCTTGCCAGGTGGAGAGAGAGTTGCGGCCGTGCCTCGCAGGCATGCGGCGGGGACTGCTGGGGTCTTTGGGGGGCTTCTTTAGGGGCCTCTCGGAGATGCTTTTGAGGGCTTCTTGGGCGCCTCTCTCGGGCCTTCTTGGAGGCCCGACGGGGCCTTCCAACGGCGGCCCGTCCAGCGATCTCGGAGGCCGTCCAGCGAGTCTTGCAGGGCCGTCTCGGGGCCCTCTTGCGGTGCTCTACCGCCGTATTGGAAGTCTCTTGGGCTGCCTCGGGGTCCTCCTGGGTCGTCTCGGGGACCTTGTAAGCTCTCTCGGGGCCGGCTTGCGCCGTCGTGGGGCCCTCTAGAGGGATTATTGGCCCGTCCCAGTGCTGTCTGGGAGGCCTCGCGGGCCGTCTTGGGTCATCGGAAGCCCGACAAGGCGCGAATCAAAAGTTGTAAGTCCGCGGGCGCCAGGTGGTCAAGGACAGGCAGACGCCAGTCAGCAGGCGGTGGGATGCAGCGGGAGCGAATTGAGGCACAAACACGTTAGCGACAGGGCGCGATCGCGAATAGAAGCAAAATATTGTGAAAGCGACGCTTTTGATGTCGCCGGGCTCCCCCAGGGCCCCAGGGGTCCTCGCGGAGGCCGCTGGGGCGTCTTGCAGGCCGCTGGGGCCATCGTGTGTCCATCGCGGCCGTCTTGGAAGTCATCTTAGACCGTTCTGGAGGCCCCCTCCCCCTCCCCCTCCTCCTCCTACCCTTCCCCCCTCCTCCTCCTCCTCCTCCACCTCCTCCTCCTCCTCCATCTTGTCCGACTTGGCTGGAGCCCATCTTGGCCGTCGTGGGCGCCTTTTGGGCCATCCTGGGGCCCTTCTGGAGGCCATACATCGGGGGCAACGATAATTTGAGGGAGTTTCTGTGGAACTCACGTCATCCTCACCCCCGGCGCGAAGAGCACGAGCCCAGAGCGGCCTCCGGCACCGTTTCCGGACAGATCCGGTGGATCCGGTGACGAATCCCAAACCGGCGCCCTCGCTTGAGACATCCTCACAAAACCGGCCCCGGGGGAGGTGCCCAGAGGAGCCCAGAGCGGCCTCCGGCACCGTTTCCGGACAGATCCGGTGGATCCGGTGACGAATCCCAAACCGGCGCCCTCGCTTGAGACATCCTCACAAAACCGGCCCCGGGGGAGGTGCCCAGAGGGGCCCAGAGCGGCCTCCGGCACCGTTTCCGGACAGATCCGGTGGATCCGGTGACGAATCCCAAACCGGCGCCCTCGCTTAAGACATCCTCACAAAACCGGCCCCGGGGGAGGTGCCCAGAGGAGCCCAGAGCGGCCTCCGGCACCGTTTCCGGACAGATCCGGTGGATCCGGTGACGAATCCCAAACCGGCGCCCTCGCTTGAGACATCCTCACAAAACCGGCCCCGGGGGAGGTGCCCAGCTTTGATCGTCGGGTGGCTGTAAGTGCGGTAAGAGCGTTCATCTTACATAATCTTAGTTAAGCCATAGAACGTACACTTGTTGATCGCGCATCTCATGTGTGCATATGCAATACTTATGGTGTTTGTAAGTGTAGATGTAAGTAATATACTAAGTTAGATATCTCTGCTAAGTCGATGGGGCTGAACATATTCGTGTTTTTGCTAATCATTTGCGTATTTTTTATTCTTAACTTTTTTGAAATCCATTGAATTTCCGTTGTTGTTGTTGTTCAGTTGTTCAGGACCGAGGCGCCGCAGGTACTTGCTGTACCTCGCGGCCGCGGCGCTGCGGGCTGCGCGCATGCCCGCGGGGAGGGGGGAGGGAAGGAGGAAAATGTTTATCCATGTGTCTTCGGCCCTCCCTTATCCCCCCTTTCCTTAGGCGGCGCACCGCCTTCTCCTCCGTCGCCTCGTCCTCCGTCGGCGGTAATCCGCCTTCTCCCCCCCCCATGGCGGCAATCCGCCTTCTCCCCCTCCGTGGCGGCAAACCGCCCTTCTGGCGGCAAACCGCTTTCTCCTCCTTTGGCGGCAAACCGCCTACCCCTTCTGGCGGCAAACCGCCTTCTCCTCCTCTGGCGGCAAACCGCCTACCCCTTCTGGGGGCAAGCCGCCTACTCCTCCTCTGGCGGCAAACCGCCTTCTCCTCCTCGTGGCGGGAAACCGCTTCTTCCCAACCGCCCTATCGGCGGCTTGCTTTGCCGCCTCCTTCCACCCCCTCGGCGGCAAGCCGCCCACCCCTTTCCCCCCTCCCCTCCCTGGCCTCTCCTTGACCCACCCTCCCCCATAGCTCTCTTCTTCCCCCCCGCGCACCCTTCGGCACCCCCTCCCCCGCCCCCCCTTCGACACTCTCCCCCCTGCGCCCCCCCTCACCCAGGAGGAGGAGGAGGAGGAGGGAGAGGAGGAAGAGGAGAAGGAGGAGGAGGAGGAGGGGGAGGAGGGGGAGGAGGGGGAGGAGGAGGAGGAGGAGGAGGAGGGGGAGGAGGAGGAGGAGCAGGAGGAGAGCAGGAGTAGGATATGTCCGTCGCACGCGCGTTGGCTCGATCCGTTTTTGGCGAGCCCTCCTCCGAGGGCTTCGGGCGGCGTGCGCGCGCGGGGAGTCGCGCACTCCGCTCGGCGCGCGGTCGCGCCGCATCGCTGCCATGGAGGGCATCCTTCGAGGCCGCCTGGAGGAGGCGCGGGCGGCGTTCGTAGCGCGCGGCAGTGCGACGGAGCACCTTCCTGCCTGCATCCAGGCGGCGACGTCCCAGCGCTGGTCGCAGCTCCAGAGTGCGCAGTTTGCTGCTTTGGGCGGCGGCGTGGGGTGGGCGCAGTCCGAGCTGGGAGACTTCTTGCAGGCTCTGTCGTCGGGCAGCCTGCAGGGGAGGAAGCTCCAGAACTACGAGGGGTTCATTGAATTTCTGACGCCTCAGTTGTGGGAGTTCGTGCTCTCGCCGCATTCGGGCTTCACTGCCAAGATGGCGGCGTTCTCAGAGCACCTCGGGGCGCTTGGCCTGAGGCATCCGAGCTGCCCGACGGCCGCCAATATGGCAGCATTCTTGTTGCTGGTGTGCAAGCAGACAGGCGTGGAGACGGGCGAGATCACGAGGGAGCTGTTGCAGTCATATCTGGCCACAGTGAAATCCTCGTTCAAGAATCTCGTGGCGACGATGCCGCCGCCCAGGGATGGCATCCAGGCTCTCCCCATCACGCCTGGGAGGCTCCAGTCTCAGTACCCCATCACGTACGTCGACGCCTTCCCGCCAGGTGTTGGAGCGACGGCGCCGCAGATAAATCCCGTCGAGATGGTGACGATTGCGAAGCTGATTAATCTCCGTGCAGGGAAGAAGAGCGGCCACCTCGCGCTGCCCGCGCCTGCGCCCGCCCGCGGCGGGCTGCAGCCATCCCGCGGCCCAGGCGGCGGCTCTCCTCAGCAGCACCTCCCCATCGCGGCGGCCGATTCGTTCTCTGGGCGCTGGCCGACGGCTCCACGGGGAATAACAGAACGCATTCCCCCGCGGGACACCTGGTATTGGGTCGAGGGGTGGGTTCCTGGATCGGCGCGGGGTACGTTTCTGGATGCCTGGATGGAGGGCGTGTTGTGAAATATTCCCCCCCCCATCCCCCTAGGGGGATGGGGGGGGGGGGGAATATTTTCGTTCGGCGGTGATCCGCCTGATTTCAGGTGGGGCTTTCGCGCAGCGGCGGCCGCTGGCCCAACCCAGCCATCCAGCTGATCGACCGCTCGCAGACGCAGCAGCCGCAGGAGCCGTTGCAAGAACGAGCAGGTTCGAACCACCAGCTTTCGATGGCGGCGGGGAGTTCGGATGCGCCGTCGACGCAGCAACTGGCGGCACACGATGGCGGCAAACCCGCCGACTGTCAGCCGTTATCGAGCACCGCCGCCGCCCAAACGGCCTCGATCAGCAAGAGCCGCGCGGCGAAGAAGCAGAAGAAGCATGAGCTGCCGATCGAGCTCGACTCCGACTCCGACTTCGGCATCGTCGCCGTGACGCCGCCGCCCAAGGCTGAGAAGGTCGGCATCGCCGCAGGCTCTCTGAAGAAGACCCCGACGGAGGCGGCTCTGGCCATGGTCGCGGCCATGGATAAGAGGACGAAGGCGGTCAAGACGAAAAAGAACGCCGAGGCGGTGAAGGCCCCCACGCTTGCCACGGGCAATGCTGCTAAGAAGACGACGCCGCCTGGCAATGACAACGCGGCAAAGAAGACGACGCCGCCTGCCACGGGCAACGTGGCTAAGAAGACGCCGCTCCCCACGGGCAAGAAGACGGACGGCGCGGCTGGGAAGGACAAGCAGCGCAAGTGGGCGAAGCCGAGGTGGGAGATGCAGACCACACGCAACTTGGCGAGCGGGGTTGAACCTCCCACCGATGAGGCGTCGGGCGCGCGCGGCGATTCCCAGCAGCCCCGCTGGGGTCGCAGTTTGCGCGCCCGCCGCCTTTCAGGCGACTGTTCATCGTTGCTCCGCCCCCCAGGTGCAGTTCCGCAGCGGCAGGGTCGGCGTCCCTGGCAGCAACGTCAGCCTGAAGTACATCGCGGGCGATGAGGCCGACAAGGCCAGATTCTCACCGACGCCCTTCTCGACGCCCTCCTCCGCGCTCTCTTCATTTTCGCCCCTGCCTCGACGCCCCCTCCGCCCCCTGCTGCCTCGTTGCGCCCGATCGCTCCGAGGCCAGGGCCATCGCGGAGGCGGAGGAGCTGGTCAAGAAGGAGCTCGCCGCCAGGGCGCGCGGCGAGTAATTCGCGCTACGACTCTTCAACTCTCCAGGCCAACGGGGCGGCCTCGGGATAACAAAAAGGTCGTGGCGGATATGCCGCCTCGTGGCGGATATGCCGCCTTGTAGCGCAGCCTTCTCGCCTTCCAACTCGTGGCGGACATGCCGCCCCCGCCCCACCCCTTTGCGCTCCTCCGCCCTTCAGGCGGACATGCCGCCGCCCCCCTCCCCTAATCGGCCCACTCCGCGCCCCCGCGCCACGTCCCTGCGCCCCCCTCTCCGCTGTCAGGCACTGGATCCCACGCCAACTAACGTCGGGGAGACGCCCACTGCTCGAACGGCGAAGGCGTTCACCCAGAATGGCATGGGCGCGCGCGAAGGCACCGACGTTGCCACCGCCCGTTCAACGACGAAAACAAGTGAACCAAGACCTGCACATTCAAAGGGACACCAGTTCACTTATATTTCTGGTTCCCAATGCCACCCTCACTCTGCCCCCTCCCCCGAGACCCCGTCGCAAGAACCAGCGGGGCCCTTCTGAGAGGCCCCCGAGGGCTCGAGGAGCTCCAAGACTTCAATGGGTCCATGGGCAACCCCCTCCCCCTCCTCCCGAAGTCTCGCTTCCGCGTCCGATTCCATTTCGGTTCAAGCCCGCGGCCCGCGGGTGCCCGCGAGCCCGCGCGGGGTTGGCCCCCCCCCTTTCGCGCCGACGCGTGGGCTGGGGCCCGCGCGCCGAGGCTGCGCCGCAGCCACCGCGTCGCGCTCGGCGCCTCGCACTGCGGCCGCGGCCATGGCAGACAGCGGCAGCGCGTTCGACGCGTTGGAGGCAGCTGCATCGCCAAAACAAGTGGCCCCGCGTGCGGTAGCCAGGGACGCGCGCATCGCGCGCGAAACTGGCTGGCCGCTCTCGGTCGAACTGTTTTGGCGATTCGGCGCAGGAGATGTTCGGGCCAGCGATGCAGTTGCTCTCCGACCTTGCGGGCGTGGACAACAACGCAGGGGATCGGTCTTCCTCCGCCAGCGGCAGTCGGCCAGCCAGCGCGCCCACGTTGGCGGCGCAGCCAGCGCGATCGCGCAGCCCGCGCCACCCGCGGGCACCGTCGACGCCGCCGCGCAGGCGGGGGCCGACGTCACCGCCGCGGGACCCGCGGCAGCGGCCTTTCCCGCCCTCGGCTCTCGTGAAGGAGCTCGCGTCGCACATGCGGGGCGCGACGCCTGTGGTGGAAGAGCCCCCCGAGGCGGTGGAGGCGCATCCCAGCGCGGTGGAGGCGTTCAGGACGCAGCTGCGAGCCTGGCTGAGCGACCCCGTTGGGAATCCCATCGACTGGCGGTCGGAGACCGTGCTCGCCGTGCTCAAGGAGTACCAGATGAAGTACGACTACAAGAAGTTCCGCGACCGCGGCCCGCCTGGCCCCGCCATGGGCGGGCCGCAGACGTGGCAGGGCCAGGCGTGGCGCGCCAATGCGAAGCGCTGGGGGAACCGAGGTGGCGCAAAGCGCGAGATGTACGCGAAGCTGCACGGCAGCAAGGCAGCGCCGCGGGTGCGCGAGGCGCACGTCCCCAAGCCTCAGCTGATGCATCGGGAGCCCATGGCGCCGAACTTGCCCAAGACGATGCCTCAGCAGGCGCCGTGGAGGACTGGCAATATGAACCCTCCAGTTCCGCCTCCGCCGCCGAAGACCATGGGGCCGCCGCCGCCGAAGACCAGGCAGCCGCCAGCAGGGAAGCCCAGCATGGTGCAGCCGAGGGCAGGGCGTCGGCTGCAGCCGACAAGCAAGATGGCACCACCGCCAGCGAAGCCGCGCCCGCCCGCCCGCCGAGATGTCTTCTTGTAGGGTGATCGCGTGGACCTGCAAGCGGGCTGGGGTGCATAGCTTCCGTAATTCGAGCGCGGATAGTTGCAGCTATCCGCGCTGACGCGTCATGACGCGCCGCCTCTCCCCGCCTCGTCTCATCTCATCTCTCCTCCCCTCTCTTCGTTGCCGATCTATCTCATTGGCGGACGCGCCGCCTCCCCCCGCCTGGCGGACAACCGCCGTTCAGATACGAGCATCGGCGCATCGGGTTTGTTCTATGCGGTTGGAAAAAAACACCAGTCCTTCCCTGAGCCACCCATTGGCGGCTAAACCGCCCTGAAGCCTCCATTGGCGGCCACGCCGCCCATTGGCGGCTAAACCGCCCATTGGCGGCCACGCCGCCCTGAGCCCTCCATTGGCGGCTAAACCGCCGCCGCCGCCTGCTGGCATCCCGAAATGTGCGATGCCACCGCGCCTCTTACACATGTATGTTTTTGTTGTTGGGACGCTGTATCGGCTCGAATCTAGGCGCGCACAGGCTCGTGCCCCACGCCGCCCCTGCGCTAGCCGTGCACTTCTCGCCCTGCCGCCATGGCAGGCCAGCAGGGCGAGAAGACCGTCATGTTCGGCTTCAAGTGCCCACAGAGCAGCAGCTGCAAAAGGGGCGGCAAGTGGTTCCAGGGAGAGACAGTGGAGGAGGCCAGGAACAAGCTGGTGAACCACCTTCACGTGTCGCCGTACCACAGCTTGAGCGAGGACGAAGCGGAGGTAGCTGCTATCGCACTCGATGCCGACTCGTGGGAAGTCGACCTCGCGGAGTGGCGCCAATGGGAGGAGGAGAAGGCCAACTGGGGCTCCGCCAAAAGGCGCAAGGGGGCGCCGAAGGTCGAGCTGGCGCCAATCCCTCCACAATCCCGCGTGGAGCGCTCGCACCAGCTGAAGGACGCGTTCTCGGAGGGCAGCGGATCGTCAGGCGCAGCTTCGTCAGCCACGGCGGGCATGAGGATGTCCACGGCGTTGGCCAGCCAGATGTCGCCCGATAGCATCGTGGTGCTCAACGGCACCCAGTGCCAGGCTGTGCTCGACTCGTTGCGCCGCGCGCGTACTGCGACGCAGATGTGCGCCCAGATAGCGGAGCGCGCGGTGAACGCTTTCCGCCAAGAGGAGCAATGCATCGCCGAGTGCGAGGACGTGCTCGCGAGCTGGCTGGTGCGCAACGCGACCTCGTAGGTGCAGGTGCACGGCTGGCAGCACTGATGTCGCCTCAGCATCAGTAGCCTCATTCGCGCAGGCGGCGCGACGCGTCGGCCCTACACGCCCCCCTCCCACTCCTCCAACGCAATTTCAATCCACACCCCTGTGTCAGAACAAATTAGGACACCCCCACACACTCCATCCGCACTCAATTCGTGAAGGCCGCCACGCCGAGGTGAATTTTGGCCATGCAGGCGGCCGAGTAGCCGTCCCCCAATGCAAGGCGATATGGGGGCGAGTGGACGAGCGGAGCGGGAGGAAGGTGAGGGAACTTCGGCGGATAAGACAGGTGGGCGGTTGGATGGGATTTGGCAAAAGGGCTGGGTGGAGAAAACTGCATCCGCATAAGAATGAGTGCGGCTATTTTCTGGATGTGCTGCATCGCCATGTCCGCCCACCCCCCCATCGCCTTGCATATGATGACGCTCAGGCAGCGCGCCCCGATTGCGCGCGCTCGCCCGTCTCTTCGCTGCCGCTCAGGCAGCGCGCCTCGCTTCCGCGCTCGCCCGTCTTTTCGCTGCCGCTCAGGCAGCGGTTTGAAGCACGCGGCGCCGTCCGCGGTCGGTAGCGCAGGGCGCCGCTCCGCCCCTGCTGCTCCGCTTAACTAACTCGGCGGACGTGCCGCTACGCCGCCGCCATGCACTGGCAAAAAAACGTTGGCTGTTATCATATGTTAGCATATGTTATCACGCGCCTGATAACACCTGATAACACCTGATAACACCTGATAACATGTTATCAGGTGTTATCATGTGTTAGCATGGTGTTATCACACGCCTGATAACATATGATAACATATGATAACATGATGTCAATTTTGTGTGGTTGTCATGTTGCGCGCAATTCATTTCAGTATCCGTATCACCTCGTGCGTCCGCCACGCTTCGAGCGGCTAGTCCGCTGGCGGCCAATCCGCCTCCCTCGCCGCGCCCCTGCACCCTCTCAAGCGGCGAGTCCGCTGGCGGATATGCCGCCCCCTTCATACCTCACTCCACCCCTCCCTCCACCTTTGAAGCGGCTATTCCGCTGGCGGCTATCCCGCCTCACTTACCGCGCGTTTTCTTCGTCATCGCTTCGCGTCCAGCTCATCTTGGCATCAGGGCCGCGCGCGACGCGCGGCTTCTCGCGTGCCAAGGCGGTCACGCCGCCATGGCGGGGACGCCGCCCGCTGAAGATCACCAGCAGCATTCTCTGGCAGTGATGTTCGGAGCAGCCAGGCCGAAAAACAAGGGAGTGATGACCAAGGCGCCCGCAGCGAAGCCCCGTGGGAAAGCTAAGCTATCGGGGACGCAGATGACACTGACTGGACAGCTTGTGCCGCCGCTCGCATTGACCGACGCAGGGCCGCCGAAGGCACGCGGGAAAAGCAAAGGCAAGGGCAAAGGTAAGCACCCCGCAGCGTTGAGGACGGCTCGCAAAGCTGCGTCAGCCGCAGCTCCCGCCGAAGAACTGCCTCCTCAGGGCGCAGCGGCTTTGCCACCAGAGCCGGACGACGCAGCGTCAGAGGCGGCATCGGGCTCCGAGGAGCGCGGCGACGAGATTGGTTCCGAGCTCGGCGTCAAACAGGATGAGCTTGAGAGTGCCAAGCGTGAGCTTGAGGAGGAAGAGGCTCCACCGCAGGGCGCGGTAGCCAAGGTTGAGAATGAGGAGCGCTCGCCCGAGGCGGCAGCGCCGCAGGCGGAGGAGGAGGAGGCAGCTCAGGACGATCCGCCAGCAGGCGCTCCCCAGGTAGGGGAGTTCGTGGATGTGCATGGCATCGGGCATAGCATCGTGCGTTGCAACCGCTGCTGTCGCACGGCAAAGGAGTGCAACTACAGGATCAAGGCGAAGGGCCAGTCGACTTACCAGTGCGACGCGTGCAACACGAACGGGGTGCGCCTTTCTCGGAGGTTCGGACAGTGGCCGCCAAAGTGTTTCGCCAAAATGAAGAGTGAGTTCAAGCAGCAGTTCTACAAGGATCTGGCAGAAGATCCTGGGCTGTCGAACCTCGATCGCATTGAAGCCTTCGTGGTCAGCTCAATCACTGTCCAACGGATGGAGGAGGAGCGCGTCCGCAAGGGTGGCAAGTACCTTCCGCTGAGGAAGTGGGCGCACGACGGCTTCGACGCGAAAAAGATTGAAGATAATGTGCAGGATAAGAGGTGGAACCCTGATCTCGGGGAGTGGACGTACAGGCCGCAATTGGAGGCGGCCTGGAGCGAGACAGTGGAGGCCGCAGTGCGCAACGAGCTGTACACCGATAAGAGGACGCAGGCGAAGCAGAGCGGCCCGCGGGCAGCGGCCTCGACGGGCGTCGCAGAGCACGGCGGCGACAAGGGCGACAGAAGCGACGAGAGCGACATGTCCAGATCCAGGCGGCGCCGCAGGCGCAGGTCTGACAGCCGCAGGAGGAGGAGGCGCAGCATGAGCAGGCGCGACAGCAGGGGCAGGCGCGACAGCAGGAGCAGACGCCGCGACAGACGTCGCGACACCAACCGCAGCAGGAGCCGCTCGCGCGGCGACCGCGACAGGAGCAAGAGCCGCCGCAAGGGCAGGAGCAAGAGCCGCGGCAAGAGCAAGGACAGGAGCAAGAGCAGGCCGTTTGGGGGTTCAACGCAGGGGTGTCGCCTGGGCTTCGCATTCGTTTTCGGTTTCCGTTCAACTCTTCAGGTTCGGATCGGGTTATTGATTTCGCTCGGCTCGAAGTGTTGTCATTTTCGGACAACCCCGAAGGCTCCGCAGGGATAAGGACGCTGAGAAGGAGCGGAGGCGACAGGAAGCGAGGGAGAAGGCCGAGCAGGCCAAGAAGGAGACGCAGGAGAAAAACCTGGCGCTGAAGTGGATCGGCACCGCAACGAGGCTCGAGACAGAGCTGGACGGGTACCTCGAGCATGAGAAGGCGGACAAGGTGCCGTCATGGGCTGTGAAGAACGCGAAGGCGGCGAGGAAGTCTGTGGCAGTCATGAAGGCGGTGGCGCAGAAGCGCGTGCACAGCGGCGTGGCGTTGACGATCACGCAGGACGAGGCCATCAGCATCCAGAAGGATGCGAGCTCGGCGGCGAGGGCCATCGCGGGGATGCTCAAGGAGGCGCAGAAGCACAGCACCTGAGCGCCCCATGGTGGCCCAGTACATCATGAAGTACGGCCTGAAAAAGGTGGAGACGGACCCGAATAAGCCGCGGCCGCTGGGCCGCTCGTGAGCAGGGGCGGCAGTTGGGCCGCTCCTGACGAGGTGTGTGATTTCGTATATACAATTGTTATTGTTGGTGAAACAACATTTCCACCGCCACCCCACTCGTTACCACCGCAGCCCTTCGTTTGGCGGGGATGCCGCCTTTCCACTCTCGCAAGCCCTTGGCGGACATGCCGCCTTGCCTTCATTTGGCGGAGATGCCGCCTTTGCTGCTCATCGCGCTCCGATGCCTCACTTGGCGAGGCGAAGCGCTTGCCTAACTCCCTCCTGCTCGAGCGCGTCCTGCCCGAGACCCTACCGCGCGAGCTGTGGCTCGCGAAGGCCAGCGACACCGTTGGGAATCCCATCGATTGGCGGTCGGAGACGAAGCAGAGGCGAAGCAGCTCCTTGGCAGGGGCGGCAGTTGGGCCGCTCATGACGAGGTGTGTGATTTCGTACAATTGTTATTATTGTTGAAAAAAAAACATTTCTTCGTTGCCATCGCCACCCCACTCGTTACCACCGCAGCCCTTCGTTTGGCGGGGATGCCGCCTTTCCACTCTCGCAAGCCCTTGGCGGACATGCCGCCTTGCCTTCATTTGGCGGAGATGCCGCCTTTGCTGCCCACCGCGCTCGCACCGTTCTCTCGCGTTTCCCAATGACATGATCTGCCACCGTCCCACCCCTCATCCGTAGTCTTTGTGGCTCAAGTGGAGCCGCTCGAGGTCGTGCCCCTTCGCGGTCTTGCGCCGCCATGGCGAGCATCGCGGACAAGTACGACGTCGATGACTTCGAGCTCATCACGGGTGGCAGTGCGTGGAGCTGGGCGACCATCGTGGTGCGCTTCATCGAGTGGCGCAATCGTTGCCGCCATGCACGCGCCGTTGGCATCAAGGGCCAGATGCTCATCGACAAGGCGCGGCGCATGATGGAGGAGGCGCGCCGCACCGAGGAGCGCGGCAAGATGCTGTGCCAGACGTCGAAGCAGATGGTGCAGGACATCCCAGGCGGCATTCGGTTCTTCTGCCGCCAGCCGCACCAGGAGAGCTGAGCGGCGATCGGCTGGGCCGATAGAGGAGGATAAGGAGGAAGAGGAGGCAGGATGAGGAGAGGAGGAGGAGGTGGATGAGGAGTTGGAGGCAGCACGCGCACCCGCACTAAGAGCCGCCAGCCGCCGCCGCGCCCGTCCCGCGCTGCGCCCGCCCCGAGCTCGAGCCGCCAGCCGCGCCCGTCTCCGAGCGCTGGCGGCTTGGAACCCGAGCTTGAAACTCAAGCTCGAAATTGCGTGCGAGAAAAAGAAATCTCCCTTGCAAGTTCCGTTGCTACGCTCACTTCGCGCCTCCGCAATCTCCCCCACCCACCCCCTTCCCCCCTCCCCCCTCCCCCCATGCCCCCTCGCCCCCACGCTCTTCGGCGGCTACGCCGCCCCTCCCGACCCTTCAGGCGGCTACACCGCCATGCCCTTCGGCGGCTACTCCGCCCCGCGATCCATTCCCGCCTCCACTTCCGTCTCTCTGGCTGCAATTCGTTTTTCTCAACCGCGCTGGGCCTCGCGCTGCCCCCCGCCCCCGCCCCTCCCGCGCGCGGGCGTCGGCGCAATGGGGAAACGCGCCCTGCAGGTGGACAAGCAGGTGGAGCAGCGGGCTCGACTGCAACAGTGTCTGGCCCTGCGCGGCGTGTCCGCGGCTTTGCTCGAGCGAATCGTGACTGCGCTTGGCCATGGCGACGACGCGGGCGATGCTATAGACGTGAGCGCTCGGGCCATGCAGCGATCGCAGACGGCATCCGTGGCCGATCTCATCAGCGCAGTGCGGCTGCAGCCCAAGATCGGCACGCCTTTCCGATGGAGCGTGGCGCTGCCGCATCGGCTGATGCCGAGGCTCCTGTCGGACTGCCCTCTCTGGAGTTCAATGTTTTGGGAAGCGATGCGCCGTTTCCCTGTGTCGCGCGATCGGCCGTGGAGGCTTTTGCTGTACTACGACGACATTGGCGTGGGCAACGCCTTGAAGATAGATAATCGTCGGAATCAGCTCGCGGTGTATGCGAGTTTCCTCGAGTTCGGATCCTTCTTGCAGAAGGAGGTTGCGTGGCTGCCGATCGGCACCTTGCGCGTCGTCGTGAAGAAGAGCATCGGCGGCTCGGCCGTGGCGCGGGCATTGCTTCGCGCGCTGTTCCTGGGCCCAGAGAGTCTGTCGGAGCACGGTGCGCCAATCGGCGGCGTGCACTTTTTCGCCAAGTTCCACCGCTTGATTGCAGACGAGGCGGCTGGAAAGAGACATTCTGCACCAAGGGCGCTGCAGGTCTGAGACCGTGCTTGCAATGCAAGAACGTTGTGCTGGATCAGGCGGAATGTCTTGCAGACTACGACGACGATGATTACCTCGTGCCTCTCTGGTGCGCTGACTCGTCGCGCTTTGACCCGCTGTCGTCAGACGAGTTTTTGCAGCAATATGATGATTTGGCGTCGCTGCGGGACACGACAACCAGAGCGAACATCGAGAGACTGGAGCCAGGGAGGAAAACATTTCCATCGATCCCCTTCTGATGTCCCCCCCTTCCTTCCCTTCTGATGTTCCGGCCCCCGAAGGAGACGGCAATGGGCATCACTCTGGATGACCGTTCTCTGGTGGCGTGCCAGGCGTTGCGGACGGTGGCGCCGCCGAGCACATACGTGAGGGACCCCATGCATACCATGCTGGCCAGCGGCGGGACCTTGCAGGTCGAAATCTTTGCGCTCCTCAAGGCGGTGAGGGATGTCATCCCCGACGCGTGGGGAACGTGGCGGGATCGCTGCTCGGCGTGGCGGACTGGCAGACGCGGCAGGAAACCGCCAGCGTTTCTGTTCAGCGTGGCTCGGAAGAAAGCGACCTGCAAGGCGTCGCACTTCGTGGGCAAGGCGTCGGATTGCTTGGCCGTGTTCCCTTTGATTCGTCATTGGGTGCACACAGAGCTGCGTCCCAGCGGCATGGCGAACGCTGCGGCGCGGTCGTTCGAGGCGATGGCGAAGATGCTCGAATTGTACATGCAGGGCAAAAGGACATGCGGCCGCAGCTGAAACGCAAACGCTGGCCTGCGCGTTCGAGGATGCACCGCGTCGGCCCGCGCGCATCCTCGAGCGCTTAGGTGGCAGGCGGTTCGGCTACGTCCTGAGGATCGGCGCCGTGCCGAATTTGATAGCTGTCTGGACCAAGGCCGTTTCGATTTCCTTGGCGCTGCACAAAGCCGCGCACGGGCCAGCCCTGATCAAGCCGAAGCATCATTATTTGTGGCACGTCCCCGACCAGCCTGCGGAGGACGGCATCTGGTTGGACGCCTTCGTACTCGAGCGGAAGCACAACCTGCTTCGGTCCAGGTCGCAGGAGATCGACAACCCTGAGAATTTCGAGCGGTCGGCCTTGACGGCGATGCTCGCCTGCTTCCTGGAGGAAGCGAAGGAGGCGCCGCGCTCCCGCGCCAAAGCGTGGCGCACGCCAGAGCTGGACAGTACGTTCGGGCACTCGGGGCGCAACCTTGCATGCCCTTTGTGGAGGAAGATGGGCTGGGAGAGGGGAAGGCGGTTTGCCGCCGAGGCGGCTCGCCGCCAGGAGGAGGAGGAGGAGGAGGAGGAGGAGGAGGAGGAGGAGGAACCCCTCCGCAGGGCTGAAACGTGGACCAGCAGAGAGGCGTCCATCGACGGCCAGATGCACGGCAGCCAGGACAGACGGCGCAACCAACCTTGGTATTTAGGGGTGCACATGCGTGTGCCCCCCCAAAAATCGAGGCGTTGCTGCCCTCAGGATTTTCTCCTGGCGACGGCGAGGCGTACATCGTGCATTGCTGCGCGCAGGCTGGCGCCGCCAGCTACCTGCTGGTGGAGACCCTGGAATGGGTGCGCGCGCCATGCCCAGGCGCGTCCCTGTGGCGGCCGCGCGGCGACGTCGCCGTGATGCCCGCCGAGCTGATCCCGCCAGCCTGGGCGGCTTATCGGCGACTACAGGACGATGGCTATGTGCTCGCCATCACGTGAAAAAGGAAAAAACGAGCGCATGCGAGAGCGGATATGCCGCTGGCGGATGCGCCGCCCTTCGATAGAGAGGTGCAGGAGGGAGGGGCGGATATGCCGCCGAAGAAGGAAGGCGGGCTCGGGGAGGGAAGGCGGCAGGAGGGAGCGGGGGCGGGCTGGCCGCCGACAACGAGGAGAGGAGAGGGGAGGCGGTGATGGCCGCCGAGGGGAGGCAGTTTGAAGAATAGTTGATCCCCCCCCCTCTCCCTCTCCCCCCTTCCCCTCCGCGCCCCGCAGGCGTCCTGAGGGCGGCTCGGCGCGTCGACCTGCGGCGCCCTGTCCTGAAAAACTGTTGTGTTGTAGTTGTTAAAACGTTTTTTGTGGTTTTTTCCCGAAACATAGCAATATCAAGAACAAACATGCAAAACATAGAAAGTTATGCAAATTTCGGGTTAACCGAATCGGACAGCCCACATCGACTTAGCTGACTTAGCTACTAAGTTGGGTATGTTGAGGTGTATGTATCGATATATCTTGGCAGTGGTACCCGATAGCTCAGTTGATAAGATGGATGGTTCTGTGAGTAGTATGTATGGTATGTTGTTGAATATACTTATCTAACAAAACGTTAAGTAGATGAATGCGAAGTTCGATATTTTATATATGTTGAATATGTGAGGTCAACTAGCATGAACCTACATACATCTTCGTTGAAACGATTTCATCGGATATACAACGCTCTTACCGCACTTACACCCACCCGACGATCAAAGCGTTTCCGGACAGATCCGGTGGATCCGGTGACGAATCCCAAACCGGCGCCCTCGCTTGAGACATCCTCACAAAACCGGCCCCGGGGGAGGTGCCCAGAGGAGCCCAGAGCGGCCTCCGGCACCGTTCCGGACAGATCCGGTGGATCCGGTGACGAATCCCAAACCGGCGCCCTCGCTTGAGA